ACAACACACAGGCACAGATGCACTTACTAAAGAAGCACCTTCTGTTACTGAGCAGGGAAGCAGAAAGCTCAGCATGAACTCCTGAACTCCTTTATCACAAGATGCAATGTAGACATGGCTTGCTTTCCAAACCACAATAACAGATTGTCTATCTCTCCCGGAATAAAATCCAAAAACAAGTTTGTGTCTCTCAGAACTCAATGTTCCAAAACATCTTTTAAATGAATGCTGCTCTCATAAAGACAGACACAGACTGTTGACTGTTAAACCAAAGGAGGAAAAGTTGTTTGAGTTGATGACAACCCCAACATGTGAGAACGTTTTGGATTCTCCTGAATTCAAACACGTTTTACCCTCTTTCTTGATTACTGCATCTTCTGTTTTTAGGGCTGCTGCTACTTCTGTTCTCACAGCTTTATATAGCAACCTTTCCCTCAGACATCACAAAGGTCAAATAGATACTTTCATTACTTTATATGAAACAAGAGCCTGAATAGAAATGTTAAAGTTCTTGTTTCAACACTCTGATGTCAATCCATATTGAGGTCATCCAATACAGGTATTTGAATGTCCAACGCAGAGGCTGCCATATAGAGCTCTGATATTTTGTTATTGTTTGTTTTGTTACGCATAATAAACTACATCAGGTTAGTAACAAATGAGAAAGTTTCACAATTGTTGAACTAAATGAACACTTGCACTGTCTGCAGTTGCCCAATGCATTTTTAGAGACTTTAATTGCACTTTATCAGCATTTATCAGCAAACAGCATCATTAATACGAATAAAATAAACAATTATCTGTTGGCTTAATGAAATACCAAAATAAATAACCTGCCTTGTGAAAGCATGTGGTTATTTGTTCTGCCACTAGCCCATACTGTGTAACAAATTGTATAAATACGACGTATAATAGATAATGATAATCACAATGTGCTGTGACTCTAACCACTTCTAAATGATAACAATACTTTTGCGACTTCAAAAAAGAATTTTATCAGTATGTGTTTTTCCAGCAAAATGAATATCAATACTGTGGAATCTATTTAAAGAAAAGAATATATATATATCAACACAAAGTTGTGTATAACAATACCTCAAACTACTTTGCAAAAGTAAATAAAACACGAATCTATCCCAGGAATATTTAGCATAAAGCTCTAAGTAGAACATTGTGCCCGGGACAGAGCCCCAGGGAGAAGTTAAATGTACCAAAAGAATCCACCTATCCTTAAATTATCTAACGTGATAGACACAGAGGTTGTAAAGCACGGCAATAAAAGCGACCCTGAATATGACCGACATTTCCGCATGTGAACTGATTTTAATCAAATCTATGTTCCTACTAGATTTAAACGCCGCCCACAGCGATATCTTTCTCTCCGAGGTCTATTTGAAGTATGTAGCTTCGTTACACCAATCTCATCATCCTTATAGCTTTTATGATGATGTCAATGTCTATTACTCTGTCTTGTAAGTCACAATTAGTTGGCCACTTAAGCTCATTCGGCTCAGAGGGAGGTCTATAATGAGGACAGCCATCATAGAGAGCTGTCCTCAAATGACCTGCTATCATGAGCCCAGGCCATCTCAAACACACACACACACAGACAGACACACACACACACACACAAACACACATAGTGCACACACATTGTTGAACTGTGTATACAGACAATGTCTACATAAGGTTGGTTGGATTACGACACAAGCGTGCATGCAGCGGAATGGAGAGTGTTTTCAGTGCGTGAAACATCTGAGTCAGCAAAATACAACACATAAAAAATACAAAAGAAAAACACACATTGGTGATAGATAGTGCGTGAGCGACAAACCTGTATCTGGACTTTTGTATTGTAACGTACTGTATAGCGTGACATCTGTACTCACTGAAGCTTGAGCTTATGAAGATGACAAGCAAAATGTTTCCTTATGATGCAAAATACTGCCTCCAGCAATACCAAATTGCACGTTAATGTAAAAGTGCAACTTTGTGAACGTGATGTGATTTGACGTGAGCTATTGTTCCACAGATGCAAATCACGCAGCGCTCTTTTAATGCCAATGCCCCTGAGAAACTGTCCTGACAAGACCTGGCTGATATGACTACCTTCACCGTTATGAAACTAAAGCCGTTTTAATCACATTCAGACAACCTACACAGGGCCTGCTAATCTCCGAACAACTCACACTTCGGTGGTGTACTCAGATGACACTGGCTAAACAGAAATATCCTCCTTATCATCAAACAATTTTTAAACTAAATGTCTAAAAATGTATATGGCGAATCATTGAAAGGGTTAAAAGCACATGAAACAGACTACTGTATATAAAATATAGGCTAACAAATGTCTGGAAAAGTTGTTGTCCTACGGCTGAACTGTTGATAAGACCCGCTGGACACATGGACAGCGTGTCTCCAATCTCTCAGCTCAAAAAGCAACCCTTGAAAAACAGAGAGGTGAAACACGAGAGGTGTCCGCCATGGCAGCAGGACCTTGCAATGTGTGGACGTGCACAGGGACGCCGTAAGGGGGTGAAAAATTAGGACGATTCTAAGGGCCGTGACTGACAGGGGCCCAAACCATTTTAGAACATTAAGAAAAAAATGTTTAAGTAACCAATGTGATATCTTTTCATGGGGCCCAAAATCCCTGGCGGCGCCCCTGGACGTGCATGAATATGCAAGAGACTTAGAGCTCACACTGGGTAAGTTCAGAGAAGGCATAGAAGCGAGTTAGATAAATCTATAATTAGACCAGTCATTGAGTCCTCAGATGACCTCGACGACTACCTTTCAGCAAAGCTGCTCTTGTGACTCCCAGTGGTCCCATTATAGATTTCAGCTCATCTGTCTGTTATAACTCTTAATGTAACTTGTGGACAGAAAATACTCATACACAGGTAAATTGCAGTACTTAGACAATCCAATAAAAAAAGAATAATATGAAACATCCATAATCAAGATAAAATAAATAGCATAAAGGAAGGACACATTCATATTTATAGATGACTTTCCAAACTAGCCGTATATGAGCCTATATGAACAGTAGCTATGCTTACTTACTCTACCATGATAAAGTTCAGAATAAATAAAGGAAAAACAAGGTTTAGCTGAACTCAGTTTAGGTAAATGTATCTAAACGAGATTAAACGCCAATGAGATCATCTGGACCTGTGTTTGCACTTTCATTGATTATCTTTCTCACCATAGATTTTGTAGAAATGTTTTCTGCTTCCCCCCCTTTCAGCTCAGTTTTGTTGATCAAGCTATAGAGAATAACATCATTCTCAATGCCGCCCTAAGAACAACATTTCTCTCTCTCGATAACATCCAGCAAGAACACTAGCCCTTCCCAATAAACACATCTTATTATCAAAGGGAGTGAGGAAGGATGTGGGTTGCTAAACAACATTTCCCAGCATGCTGCCATAACACTATAATGAGACTGCAGGGAGCAGTTTCTATAATGCAGACGATACAGGTCACCCTGACCTTGTGGAACTGAATTTCAGGCCAAAACAAAGCCACAAAGGATGCCAAAGAGATTGCAGCTTTATAGATGTACTTATTCAGGTCAACACTTAGAGTCAGAGGGATTCTGATATTTGACATACTGGGACTTTTTCTAAAGTGAAAATAAACTGTGTGGGCTCATCATTATAATCCCAAAATCCACAAATAACAGTTCTGGTTTATATAGCTTTTTTTCTCTGTTCATGAAAACTGTACAGGCGGCGAATATTCTATATAACTCAACAAATCAAATTGTATCAATGCTTAAAGTTATGCAGGGTTTAGGGAGTGGTCGCTTTGAGTGACAGGTAGATGCTGTCACAGATGGCTAGCTGTTAGCTGCTAGCTGCCAGTTAGCCGTCACTTTAACTTACCGTGTTTGTGGTGTACATTTTTCATGTAAACATTGGACAAATAATGTGGCTTGATGTGTGAGATTTTAGTATTATTTTATTTCTAATCTAATTAGCAGGTTAAGGAGTCTGCATTCAGAATACTTGTGTTATTGTACACTTCCTGCAGCGTGTGCTATTCCCGCCCAAGATGATTATGTTTACTAATGCCGCATTTCCACCATGGCGCGGAGCGCTGTTTAAGCGTGCCGTGTCGTGCCGGGCCCGTTTTTGGTTGCGTTTCCACTATGCCTAGTTCCGGCCCGGGGCTACTTTTTCACCTTTTTTCTGGCCCGACAAAATCGTGGTTCTATCGGGGCCAGCAAACAGGGCTGAGTCAGGCTGAGTTTGCTAAACTAGAGAGAGAATCGCTGGCAAGGGGGCTACAACTACAACAAGATGAACATATTTGACCGTGATTTAATTGTAATACACGTTTAAAAATGATGCCGAAGTAACAACATACTGATACCGGTTAGTAAAAACCATGAATTAATGCTTTGACAAGTCTGCAGACAGACGGCAGGCGAAAAACCTTTTAAAATGCGCGTTGTCTAAATGGAGATTGGCTAAGCTAACGCAATATATGCTCCGACCGTCCACACTCACAACAACGGCCTATACAGACATAAATAAACCAGCGACTGTATTCACCATGACACAGGCAGTCTGTGGTTTGTACTCGTTTAACTTTTGTCGAGTTTCTGAACAGATATGAGGAGCTGTGAGCTTGAGTGCTAACAGCTAACGGCTGATGTTGGTTTTCTGGGGTGCTCATTGAAGATGACGTCATGGCTCCGCCTACACTGCGTTACTATAGATACTACCCCAGTTCCTAAACTGTAATGGAAGCGCAGCATTAAAGTGAGCTGGGCCTAACAAGGCCTAACAAAACCGTACTAAGTCGAGCGAGGCCTGCGGTGGAAATGCGCCATAAGTTAACCTGAATAAAGGATTCAAGTTAGCTATCTCAGGGCTTCAAAACAGTATTCCACAAACTATTGGGTGACATCAAAGCATTTGCATCATTTCATCTATGTATCTAAATTTGACCCCACAATGCAACACAACACAGAAAAGTTTATCCCTTACCTCATAGCCCTCAAAGCTGCTGTGTCCCATGCTGGGTGTTGGGGCCCCTGGCAGTGCTGGGGCCCTCCTCTTCTTGGCCTCAGACTTGGGAGACAACCTTAGTATGTTCATGACTGACTGAGACTGGCCCAAGGTGCGGGGCCGACCTTCTGCACTGATGACCCCCGACGCAGTGGACAGACGCTGTGGGTGATTAAATCAAAAGGAGGATAAGGTAACAATGACAAATATGTATTCAAGTATTCACATACAATTATATTATTATTACTCTTGCAAAACCCAGAGCCAAAATTGATCACATTTTGATGGACGGTCTTTAGTGATCTCTCTCTTTAGAGAATAGGGATCAACAGCCCTTGTTTCTTAAACATGGCCTTTATTTTTTGAGAAAAAGTCATTCAAAGCTGTCACTTAGTAAGATATTCTGCCAAGTAACAAACACAAGTCATGTGTCTGGCAGTGCTGATTACAAGGTTGATTTAATGGTTAAAACTGAAAAAGAAATTTAAAGGAATTATTTCATATTTAGATTAACTTTTAATCTGATCTCATCAAAGGAAGAGCCCCACTAATTTACAGTGTATTGAGGTAAAACATGCAAACGCGCACGCACATACTACGCATGTCATCGTCATTTTTGTTCCGTCACAACAATTATTGCAGCACTTATTTAACAATGTTGAAAGTGCACCCGCATTTTCAAAGGGTGGCTGCTTCTGACCAAAGCATCGGATAAAAAAATGGTTTTCAATATCTGATCAAAGAGAACCCAAAGTGCTTGTGAATATCTGAATGTCCCCGTGGCTCAGCTTGGTACAGAGCCCTGCACAATGGGGGAACCAACCCACGACTCACACCCCCCTGATCTGAGAAAAGCACTGTTTTAAAGCAGATTCATTGATGCGTTCAGACATGACTGGATACAGCATAAAAGCAAAAAGGAACATAAAGTTCAGGTCATTAGAATTAATTGGAACCAAGGTTAGATCATCTCACAGTGGGAAGGGATGGGAAAAGAAGTACCACTCAAAAAAAAAAACATTGGTGATATTTCACATATACAAAATGATGGTTTGAAATGATTGAATTAGTTTCCAAGATCCAAAACGACTAAGTGTTGCCGTATACTTCTCACCTCTAATTTTAATAAACATTTACAATTAAAACCTTTCTAAACACTGTCACCCTTGTAATAAGATGTATTAGTCACTATAACACCTCCTAGATAATCTGAAATGCATAAAAACAACATCACAGAAACAAATGGGTAAAAAATACACCAAACATACAAAGGGCCACTAACAAACACAGTACAACCTAAGCTGGAGATACACAAATATCAAAAGTCAAATATATTACATTAAAATATTCAACGTCAATTTTTCCCTGTGCTGTGTGACTGTTGGGGGCAAGAGCAGGGCAAGGGGGAGGTGGGGGAGGAGCGGGAGGTGGCAGACGGGGACCGAAAGAGCAGAAAAGGAAACGTTTGAAGTGAAGGATTGATGTGATTTCTATTTAGAATCCGAAAAAAAAGGAGCAGCAAAATATAATGTTCAAAGCAGAAAATTCACATGAACTCTGTGTGACTTTTTCACCTTCTCTGTTCTCCTCCTTCCCTCTGGTAAACAGTCTGAAATATGTCAAAACAGCGAGAGAGGGGAAGGTAGCTGTAACAAAAGTACTGCAGGATTTGAGGGGGAACCAAAACTCAGAGGGATCTCATAATTACAAAGTGATAACTTAAAATTACCCAATTGAACTCCTGCAGAACTTCTTCTAAAGGAACATGACTTACATACTGCATCTCTAGGGAATGCCTCAAGTGCTTTAAGGACTGATCCTACTACAAAAGCACACATGCCCATGTAAAAATCCTCAGCGGCCTATCAAAATGTCAGAATCACTCCCTACAAATCAAACTTTAAATTAATCTTGGATCAGCATAGAGGAGAATCCTCCTACAGACCTACACCTACTTTAAACGAAGAGAAATTCTCCACGTAGGTGAACTTTTATTGACCCCAGCTCGCTGTTGTTTTCTATATTTATAAGAATTACAAAATTGAATACATGTGATTAAGAAAGACAACATCAAATACAGAAAATATCTTTATTCTTTGCTGAACACCTGGCTGAAAAGCAATGTTTCTGCCCTCTACGGGCAACAGTTAAAGTCTGTTTCACCTCTGATGGGTGTGGTCAGAAGTGTTATGAGAACACCCGACAGTGATGTATTGGGGCTTCGAGGTTCAAAAATGCGTTCAAAGTTCTGAGGCTGGCAAATGATTGCATGTAACTGCTGTGATTAGGTATTGGCACAAATACGATGAGCTTAATGTTTATAAAACAGTTTGACTCCCAAAAGTAGGAGTAAAAATACCTGCCACATGTTCGTTAAAACAATTCTCTATTCTGAGTTACTTGATAAATATGGTGCGATCAAAACAAACACGTATAATAAATCATGAACCTTAACTTAAAATAATCTACCTGAATTACCGCATTTTCCCTATTTTAAGTATTTTTCTTCAGATCAGAACTGCCCTCCAACATAATGCTCCCTGACCATGTTAAGACCAAACACACACACCCACACACACACACACACACACACACACACACACACACACACACACACACACACACACACACACACACACACCACACACACACACACACACACACACACACACACACACACACACACACACACACACACACACACACACACACACACACACACACACACACACACACACACACACACACACACACACACACACACACACACACACACACACAGTAGTTTATCCCCTAATGAACAATTAGAGATAAGAGGCTGGGCTTTTAGTGCTAGTAGCCAAGGTAGGGTAATATGATGCCTTTAGGCTGATAACACTGAGTGTCTGTGTGTGTGTGTGTGTGTGTGTGTGTGTGTGTGTGTGTGTGTGTGTGTGTGTGTGTGTGTGTGTGTGTGTGTGTGTGTGTGTTTGCTTGTGTGCACCACTGCATGTGTGTGGTCTGATAACAGGCGCTGGCTAAAAAACAATAATATCAGAGAGATAAAGCCCAGCTGCATTAAAGCCCACTGGATAGGGTGACCTGACCGAGAAATAGCAATATGGATTAATAAATGGCTTTGACTCAGTGTTTTAAATGTATTTCAAATCAAAGCAAATTGCACACTAGTTTGAATGCATAATTCATGCTCTAGTGCCATTTGATCTTTTTTTCATTCCCTATCCCTAACAATAAAGGATCAATGAAGGATCACTGCATAGGTATCTTTCAAAATGACGATATAGAGTGAGAAGTACCAGATAAAACAAGAAAAAAGAGCTAGAAGGGTGGAGTAGGCCATCCAGAAGCATTGAGCTTGACGGAACAGTGAATCAACTAGAGTAAGCAGGGCAGTGTTTATCCAGATAATACAATCAGAAGGCATATTGATCTGAGGTCAGCCACGTATGGCTGCTTCTGACTTGAAGTTCATGGCTTCAAAATCAAATTAACGTGATTGAGTTATAGATATTATAGGTAGAGAGCTGCATGATGCAGCGTCCTAATGTCTGGTTAAACATGGATGTACGTCACACAAACACACTGGATTAGTTGTAGGGGGATTATATTGTGGATTCAGTTATTTAGTGAATGACGTGAAATCTAGTCAACACCATTCATACTAGCTGCTTCTAGTTCTTCTAACTTAATTCCCCATATCCATTGTATTATTCAGTACTCATTTATAGGAAAAAGAAAAGCATCACTGATCGTCTTTGGACCTGTCAGCACAATAACACTGATGACTAAGCGTTAGGAGACACTTGCTGCCCTCTGGAGGACATCAGTGCACATTATCACAGCTCAACAATCATCCAATTAACTGTAAATGTGGCTATTGTGACTTTATGCCACAATCTTGAAGTTTTTATGTGAATTGTTTCAATTGTCCTACCACACTACGATTATTTGCACTAATAACTGATGTCAGAATTCTTTAAACAATTAAGTAATTTATCATTAACACCACAAAATGTTCAAAATATAAAATATGTGATGTGTTCAAATGACAACAGTCCAGTCTCATATCATATCACTGATATAATATTGATATATTTGCTTGCATAAATGATATGTATACAATAACAAATGTATTATCTTTACTTTTTAAGGGTGATTTAGTACAAAAAATATGATGGCAGACATTTAAAGCTTAATTCTAAAACAGAAATAGAATCTTTCGAGTTTGATGATCAGCAATCATGCATCATCATGCACATAACAACATGACAATCATGGACATAACAACAGGATCCCTTCGAACAAACTGACCTAAGTAATACCTTTAGCTTGTCCAATTTATTCTATGGATGAAACTAAATTATTGATCCAACCATGTGGTAATGTTTGAGGTTAGTTAGTAGTTTGTTCTGGATTGTAAAACATTTCAAATATGTTCCTGTTATTCTGTCCACCCATAGTATATGATCAGAAGGTGAGATAACAAAAAAACAAATCCCTCTCTGATTTCACTTATCACATCTGGACAATAGACACAGATGTGTTAGGAATACTTACATCGGATTGTGTGTCTGTATTTTGGATTACTCTATCATCACAGTCATCCATGTCCATAGATGTTGTTTCTGTCTGCAAACGGAGGGCACAGCTAACATGCAGCATTCAAACGTTCAGCCATGCGTTAAGCCTGCCTCGGCTATCAATCTGAATATCTATTATTTGCATGCACCACTCAAGGTTAGTTTGGACAATGTTACACAATCTCATATTCCTCATGAGCAAATGAGTCACTGCTAAACTTTGTTGAGAGTTATGATGACTTTCATGCTGCTCTTAACTCTCTAATAATCTGTATTTATAGCCAATGTCAATTATGATAATAAAACAGAATTACACTGCTAAAATAAGAATTTTAAGGGTCGGATTAATACAAAAACATATCAGCAACAGAGATCTGGTCTTACCTTTGTTTTCCTCTTGCTGAACTGGAAGATACCCAGAAGGCCTTTCTTCTCTGCTCTGCCCAAACTGTTAGTATTAGAGTGGATGGACTCTACAAAAAGAAAAAGAAGAGCAGAAGGAAAGGAGTTGGACAAGATACTTTCAATGTGTCATAAAAGAAAAGCAAATAAGTTAGGTTCAATCTCAGAAAAAGTAGATTGTTAGTAACTGTTATGATCCCAGCATGCATTGGTTAGTAAGGTCAACAACAGAATTCAGTGAGGGATCCCCATGGAAGTAGAACACTGTAAAAAACTCACGTGTATTTAATTGAGTTTTATCCATATGATATCCAATACATTTGTTGTATTGTATATTTGCATACTTTAATTTGTCATTTTAAAACATTATGGATTGGTCAACATACTGCACCTGTGTTCAATAATCACAAACTGAACATAACCATCTACTGGGTTTTCTCAGCAGAGGGCGCTATAGCTTCATTTATCTCAAAGACCTCCTCTATGTAACCTTCACCGTCTACAAAGCAGTAAGTAAGAATGTGTCATGATAACACTGTTGGCTTGAGGGCAGGGAGGGAAAGTAAACTAACCTTGAAATTAAATCAAACAACTATACTACTGGGTTGTTTGGATTCCAAAAGAAACTCAGCTAAATATAAGTAATTTCAGAATACACAGCACTGATACTGTTATGACTAGGAAAACAATTACAATAACATTAGAAACATAACATTATTTATATGATGATAGGTGGCTAAGAAGCACAAATGCATGTCAAATGAAAAGCAACAAAGCAGGGTTATTAAGCAAGCAGCAGGACATTGGGTTACACAGCTACATTTAGTTGGAATTAGAAACACTGAGGCAGACAAAACATATCATGACTAATACCTGAGTAGTTAAGAGCAGGAGCAGAAGCCATTTTAGGCTGGAGAACTGGAAAACATAACAAGGTTTAAAACAAATGAAATAATTTATGGATAACTGACCTTCATGGAATACAATAAATGAATCTGTATTTGCACTTTTGCAGCAACACAACACAGCGGGCAGCGTTTCACTAAACAACCATCATTTGAATGTTTTCCTTGATAAACAACTTGTACTTCATGATAACAGTGAAAGGTGGAATACCATACTATAACTAAATGTTATAGTATTTGACCATTAACAATTGCAAAAGGTTCTAAATGTTCTTGAACATTTGCTTAATGACCACAAACCACCAGCTTTCCCTTTGAGATCACCCTCTGGGACAAATACAATATCTATAAATACCACTGGGTGTGGGCTGTTACTATGGTAATGAGCCATATTATCAGATCTTAGACCATAACTCAACTTCCTACAAGATACTGTAGGATAATGATTTACAATTATAGTACCCAGAAGGGATAAATTGTATTTACCATGGTTCATGTTGAAAATAATATAATTGGAAACACAACAGGCTATCGTTACAATATTATTGACTGCTTGCATATAACTCTAAGTCAACATGCATGCCATGCTGTACAGCAAACAGAATACAATGTTATTCTGGTAGTGGCTCATAGCACTGGAGTCTGTTTAGATAGCTGCTACTGGCTGGATTTGCATTGGATCCATACTGTGCACTGCTTCCTGTTTAGACTCAGGGTCTTTGAGTGTCTTTACAGATTTGAAACCGAAACTCTGGTTTAAGGTGGTGACGGTGAGTAAAAACAGTTGATGTTAAACTTTCTGCCCACTAACTGACCATCTGCTTTCCTCCTGAACCCATCTGTGAAAGGGTTAGAGGGGCAGACAGGAGATTGTTTTTACTGATTGCGATAAAAACACAATTTCTAATTAGTGGGATAAACGTGAATATCCTCACATGTCTGTCCTAAAAATACTTTCCTAGCTTGCCAAGTCTCCAGTGCAGCACCACACCCTTTGTTCTGTACACATGACAGAGAATGAAAAAACATTACATAAGTTCTCTTTTTTATTTTTACCATGCATATAAACCTTTGCTACATACCACTGTCGTTATATGGTGCAAGATAAAGCTGTCACATTTGTGGGAAAGTTAAATCTTCACTGTTTCTGTTTGTATACAAATGCATACATGTCTTTTATGAAGACATTGTGGTTGATTAATATAATATGCTAGACTAATTGAGGATGATATTAATTACCAGGCCAACATCAGATAAAATTACTCAAAGGCTGGACGAGCCAAGTCACCGATCAGTGTCCATGCTGACGTCTTTATCTGCTTGAATTAGTTTACTAACATTAGCATAAATCAAGACTGTGCTCTATACATCTATACATCCACCACAAGTGATTTCATTTCAAGTATCTATATACAGTCAATTATGATATAAAAAAAACACTGTTCCCATAAACCGCCTATTTCTAATCAGTTTATTATTAGAAATGTGGATCTGCTATAGTTTTAATGGACGGTTGTATTAAATATTAAGTAAATTGAAATATACTGAATTTGATACACAGAAACAGAAAATAGACGGAATCAAGCAGTTGAGGTTTACCTAGACTCTGATCGTGTACGTAGAGCTCCTTGAGCCCCAGGTCCAGCAGAGATCTGTCCAGCGGTAACTCGTGGCGACTGATGCCGTCCTTCAGGAGCAGGACATGTGCCGGCTCAAAATCACACTTATCGCAGATGACTGGTATCAGAACCTGGAGCGGCACCAACGGGTTGACCCGCACCACTGCCTTCTGGCTGCCGTGGTAGTTCACCATCAAACGCACGGTTTTCTGATACAGAGAGGGGAGACGGGTGGAAACAGTTAGACAGAATGTCAGACTGGATGAAGTAAAATGCTACTTAGGGAGATATTTTTTTCTCCATGCAGTGGAAAGTAGAAAGCTAGAGAAGTGGAGGTCCCATGCCGGCTACATATCTACATAAATAAAATAAAAGATTTTGCCTTCATGTTAGAATTCAGACAAATATAATCAAAGCTTACTGACTGACCTAGCACAGATGTAATGGATCTGATTATTTAGGCAGTTCAATGACTACCATCATAATATCAATAAATACATCTTAAACATAAAAACCAAAGAGTAGTCAGCATACAGTATGTAATGTAAAAATACAAGGCAGCGAGAGATAGAGAGGGCAATAAATATATCAAAACACGGAAAGACACTTCAACAATGGGTAACTTAAGGTTAGACTTTGGTTGCTGACAGAAAAAGTGACATTTAATAGCAAGTTTTGTGCATATGTGTGTACATTTATACATGTGATCTAGGATGTGTGTGTGGGCGCAGCATTAATGTCTTCCTTCCTACACATTACATAGTGTTGTATTATTGAGAACAGACGTGCCACTCTGTACAGTCTTTATCACTGAGTGGTGTACATCAGCCTCTATAAAAACACAATCTGAAGTCAGGAATTCATAAAATGCCTCTTCAGTTTGTGGCTCCTCAGTGACTTTTCAAGTAGAGGGATATTCATTGTTATGTGTCAATGGTGCTTCAAATTCATGAAAGCACTTCTCCAGAAGGTTTTGAGTTTCACAGTCAAAATGCTGCTGTAGATGACAGCACAGAGTAAAAGAAAAAAAGAAAAGCCAACTGCACCAATTTAGGAAGTTGAAAACCATCACAATTGTAACAGTTATATCCAAAAACAGTGTTTAGATTTGATTGAATTATTATAAAGTACTGTTTGTCATTGTTACTTTTTCTGTTGCTCGTTTTGCTGAGCTAAAGTCTGCCTGCCACTGATTTACTGAAAAATGATATTGTAATCCCCAGGCACCATACATAATGGCAGCCCACTCCTGCTAACACTAGGATGAGTCAAATGCAGAGACCCCTGTACATTTCCCCTGTGTGACGAATAAAGGTATTCTGATTACATTATGTCTAACCTGCTCATTTCAATTTAGAAATAGCTCTAACTTTTATACAATATAGTTCAACATGTGTCTCTAGTACTGACCACTGAGTGTTCAGTATTTCACTCTTAAATCATTTCATTTTAACAGCTCAGACTAGGGTTACAATGAAAATACACAGAAAGAGGATGACTGACAGAAGCGTCTGAAATAGCGTCTGAAATAGCGTCTGAAATAGCGTCAGCCGCTGGCTAGAGGCCAGATGGGGTCAAAGGGAGAGAGAGCAGCCAGTGAGCCCTGAGAAGAGCAGAGAAATAATGCATGGTAACTAAAGGTAAGGCACTCATCAAATATTCAAACTGTAGGAGGAGAGCAGAGGAGAGGCAGAGAAAACAAGAGAGGCTTAAAGGGCAATGCTCGAAATAAGTTTGTATAGCACAGTGAGATGTAAAGAAATATAAAAACAAAACAGATGATAAAAAGGCACACTTAAGACTGAAAAACCGGTGTATAAGAACCACGTCCAATGTCATGCTAGGCCAGTAAATCCCAATTGTCCTCCTACCTTAGCATTGGCCCTTACAGGTTTCTCTGGCCTTGCTTTCTGCCAGCAGTCAGAGGTAAAGGTAGAGAGGGGAGGGGCGGACATTACATAGGGCTACAGGGTGAGGGGCTATAGGACATGCAGACTGCAAACTATTATATGAATGATATGCTATCACTAGCATTCTGGACTATAAATAAGCTATATTACGAAAAACATAGGTAGGGGTGTACACTCTTATTTCATATATAATCATTTGTTGAAACATTAGCTGTCTATAAAAAAAACACAAGAATCCAAGCCAAGTCCAACAATCCAATATGCTGTAACTCGTACAAAATCCTTTTTTTCGTTGCAGCAGCATAAAACAAAACAAGGCATTGCACATAACAAATTATAAAAGTAGTATAAAAGGCACAAATCTATAAGACACAGGGAGCTGCTGTAACAGGCTGCCACCTAGCACGGCGCCAACAGCGAATGATAATAAAAAAAACACAAATAACAAAAATAACATCCATATGGAGGTATCAGGCTCCGCTGTGACTCACCTCTGGCACTTTGGGCGCCGGTCTGCGCACCACTTTCTCCTCCCAGACTTTCTCCTTGATGAGGACGCAGGCCACGTTCAGGGAGCCCAGCAGCGCGTTGGGCTTGAACCCCAAAGAGTGGCCCTCGGGCGTCAGCAGCTCCAGGGTGTGCAGCGCTGGGTTCAGGTGGTGACGGCTGCACTGCTCCACCAGCAGGTCCATCAGAGCCTTACTGAGAGAGGGAGAGGGGGGGAGGGACCGAGAGGGGGAGGAGGGGAGGAGGGTAAGAGGAAGAAAGAACCACAGGAGGAGATGAGGAGGGAGACAGAGAGGAAGGAGAAAAAGATAAGGTTACAACGCCTAACAAGCTTTTGTTCTGCTTAACAGAGTAGTAATAACTTGATACAACAAAAGACTTCTTGATACACACAAAGAATAGGATTTTGAACATCAACAGGTGAATTCACTCAGTGCTTATAGCACCATTGTTTGGCAATAAATTGCAACACTAAGATGATGCGCTAATGATTTTTCAACACAAACACGCTCCCTGTGGCATGAATTAAATGTTGTTTTTGCTTCTAGAACACAGTAGGTAAAATAGAGGCTGAGTTCAAAAGGAAGTATAACATGTTCAGGCAAGGTGAAGAGGTACTAAACAGCAAGGAATTAAACCAGACAAGAAAAACAGTATTATGGATACAATATGCCGTGATCTTTGCTGACACCTATAATTTCACTTAAACTGCGTGTCGCTATCAATCAGCGCATGGCTGATTTTTGTAAATTAAAAACCTTGACAATGAGGCTTATTGAGAAATAAACATTTTCTTTCGTGTCATTGGTGCAGGGGTAGAAGCCGCAAAAGCCATGAAATCCCTCAGTGAATTCGCTTCTCAAATGTTATCACAGATATATTGTAGTATAGTACTAAAGAAATAAGATTAAAAGTGTATTTTTGTCTTAATTATTTTGTATAATTATTTCTTGGTTTTTGGCTGATGATGACAGGATTGTAAAATCTTAAAATGTCCATATTGTGAAATCTTACACAAATATAAAATGATAAGGACAAAAGAAAGTTTAGCTGCAACAGAATGTCGACTAATCATTTAGGTGACAGATTTTCTGATAATAAATAATGCAACAATGGCATAAATTGATGTTTTAAAATATCTGTCTTAATGTACTGTATGTCTTTTTTAAGAAGTTGTATAAAATGATCTAACTTCTGCAAGGGAAATAGAAATACCAAAACACCAACAGATAGCAGAGAAGCCATTTATCACATTCTGATTCAATCTGCATGATTTATCTAGACATAAACAATAAAAAGGCAGGGACAAAACAAGTGGCATTGAGATATAATGACAGGCAAATTGCAGAGTACTTGTGCTATGATGAACTACTTATGTCCATTAAGCCACAGTAGAAGCTCTGAGGTCTGCTTCATTGCTTTGTGCGTGTGTCTGTATGCGTGGGGGTGCAGCTGATGGGGAGGCCTGCAGTACTACCTGTCAATCCTCAGATAAAGAAACCGAGGGACAGTCTCCAATGTTTTCTGGGAACAGCCAGATCAGATGACAGAAGTGAGAGAGATACCACTACAAAGGACACCATTGACGATCACTACAAATGGACCCAGTCTACAACTAAGACGACAATCTGGAATCAACAGAGCCGGCTCCTGTGTCACTATGTGATTCTTTACATGATTTTAAAGATGGTATGTTCATCAAAAATAACTTGTCAACCGGTAAACCCCCCATGGTTCACAAGAGGGACTTCTTTAAGGCATCTTACAGAGCCAATTATTGTTCATTCTTACATTACTTTACTGTTTAACTGCAGTCCTGCTTATAAAATGTTGGAATAATGATGAGTGGCACTACAGGGACATCTGTTTGAGATCATGCAAAAGGCATAACATTTGTTATGTCTACACAATCACAAAATGTTTTGAACTAAATAACAATCTTTGAAATCTGAGCACCAAACGTCTGCTGTATTCAAAGCAGGTATTGCTAACTTAATTGGCTTTGTGTAACTGTCAATGCTCACACAATAAATGGTTGGGGATTTTTCTATTTAGCATTTGATATTTATGACACGTGTGTTTATGATACATTGGCCTTATCTTATCTTTGAACACATGAACTATCCCAGGCTATGATGTTGTCAGAAGAGGAAGTGTCAACACAGCCTATCTGAAGCCTTAATGTGTTATCATACATTCCATTCTCCAACATGATTACGATGCTAACATAAACCTATAAATAGATTTAAGGAATGATACTGTAGGCAATCTGAAATGGTTAATAAAAAGTCACAATTTTTACTTGTAGAAATGCCCCTGTTTAGTAAGAAAAGGGAAACACCTTACTTTTACTACTTTTAAAAAGTAGCACAGTGACGCCTACTGGACTAAAGTTTGTTTATGGTTCTAAAAGACCACCTTGTCGTTCTGTAATAAGGAGGCATCCCTGATTTTCTGCCCCAAAAGAGAGAACCTCATTAGGGGCAGGGAGCTTTGGCAGACAGCCTTCGTCTGGCAACTATCCTGGCTGAAGCTTGTGCTGAGACTGGGAATGGGACCCTTGACAAGGCCCCATGGCACAGCAACCAAAACAGGCAACAAACGGGTCTCATGCTGTTTGTCTGGCCAGGGTCAGCACATTATTTCATATTGTTCACCTTCATAAACATCATTTCATGATGAATGTGATGGATTGCCCTCTCACCTTCCATCCTCAGTGACAGCAGTCTGGTGTCCCTGGGGTAGGGTGAGCTGTAAATCCACAGTGGGCCTCAGCAGGTTCTCCTTGGCGTCCATGTCTGATGTCCCTCCCCCATCAGGTACAGCGTTTCTGAAGATGTGGCGTGGGGCGGGTAGAGGGACATGTGGCGGGGGCGGGGGCGGGGCACGGGCCTTCATTCTCCTCCTGAGAGATGACAATGAGACAATTAGAGGATGACATGACTAACTTTCAGATGCTTGATTGAGTTTGCTACATTCTATTAAGGTTTTCCATGTATGGCTTAAGCAGGGTAAAGATCTGAGTTTTATTACATATCATATTTACTGTTATCAGATCCTAAAAGGACACATGACGCGTTTATTGAGCCAGCCTATCCTTCTGATGCACATCCTGACTCACTTTTATTCACTCAAAGAATTTCAAATATTTAAAAAACATTTCTGTTTGTCATGAGTTCAGTCAATTTTAACAGGCTTGTGAACAGACCCCATGATTCTGATTCTGTTGGTGACACAAGCTTTCTCTTCACTTAGATTACATAACAGCACACAGATATGCTGAGCCGATCCTTTTGGTTGTCAATATGATCCTGCCCTCAGTAGCTGCTTATTCAATCTGTTCCTAACACTCCTCTGAATAATAATTAAATATTCATAATAACACCCTCTTTAACATCACTCTTAGTACTCATGCTTAAAAAAACGAAATCAATGTTTGTTAATGACCTTTACTTCCACACCAACAGCTTCCCTTTATTTGATTATTCTTCAATACCTGAGCAGTTTATTTAAGACAAGCCCAGAGAATGTTATCAATCAGTAATACTTCAACGTGGACATTAGGTTGACTAAGTTGCAAGAGTCCTTTCCTTGGTAAAACAGTGAATGAAAACATCTGATCAAATTCAAATTTTAGCAAGGGCATTTGGTTGGCTCAAGTTCCAGGCATAATTTATGAAAACAAAAAATACCCAGAAAGCAAACCACACACAAACTACAGTTCACATGGGTGGGGATGTGGCAGATGTCAATGACATGCCGGCGACCAAATGCTCCTACACCTGACCTCGGCACATGAACTGTACTTAGCCCGACACAGACAGCTGATTGGACAGGAATCAAACACTTCATTCTGCTAACGATGACAAACTGCTTTTCTATAGCATACCTTTCTGTATTCGCAGCACAAATATTAGCTTTAGATATCATAATAATATTCCACTCACGTACAAAATGTCCTTGTGTTGATTAAGTGTTCCCAAACAGCTTTATATCAAGCTGTTTATAAATCCAGTTCTAAGAAATAGGCACACCCTCTCAGAGAGAATGTGTGTACTAGCCAGTTTCCTACGAGGTATTCCTGCCGACTAAAGGAAGAATGCACGTGAACCTAGCACAGTGAGCGGACTCTAACCTGACTGAAGTTAACCATTAACAACTAACCCTCGCCCACAACACCCATAATGTCATTGACTTATTATGCAATGCACAGTGTTTTCAGTGGGTAATACATCATGGGAATGACAGACTATACTTTAGGGTTTGTCAAATCACAGTGTGGATCATGTATAATCACCAACTGCACGGTGATCTGACTTAAAGCGCAGTTTTATCACAAAAAATAAAGAGAAAAAATAGATTTTCAGGAGGAATAAAAACCTGCATAAGGATGATGTTTTTATATATTTTTTGTCAGTCTGTTTTTTCAAAGTTGAACAGAACTGGGCTCTGTGGATCTGTGCTACTGGGCCTCATCCAGGTCTAACACAGTCAGCTAGTATCCTCTGCCTCTCGCTTGCTGTTTGTCTCACCATTACATTTCCCTCTCTCTCCTTCCCGCTCGCTGACACGCACAAAGCCCCCTTTAGGAAAAGCTCCGTCTCCCACAGAGTTAGAATGAGCGAGTCTCAACAGAGACAGAAGGAGTGTGAGAGTAAAGGAGAAGCAGGGAACCAAAAGCAGGAAACCCTGCTCCGGCACAGGGGGGCAGTAAGTGCTGAGCTGCTGCAGGGACCGAGTTACAAATGGGCTCACACACGCGCACACACACAAGCACATACAAGCGTGCACACACACAAACACACAAACACACACAGGTTACTAATGGACCTTTCGGAACCTCTCAGCTCTTTTCACCTGACTAAACAGCATTATCAAGGATATCTTTATTTCACTTCCCTCTTTTAAATGTTCAGGCCTAAGGTGTTTATAGCATCAAAATGTGTTTTTTTTAAAGTTGCAAAAGGAGGAATCCAAACAAACAGATGCTGAATTAATCTTAAAGCACTAAAGGTTTCTATAGACTAATTCAGTCTAAAAACCCATGACAACATGTGAGAGGCTAAAATAAAGAGAGTACACAGTAAGTTGAGTTTTTGGTCCACAGTTTAGATACAACAACAAATATACATGTGGTTGACTTATTGGGGGTTTTCATTTGTTAATGGTTTACCCACAAAGAGCAAGTGAAAAGCTGCAGATGTTTGTATTTTATTTATATCCTCTTCCCCTGCAAAGAGGTTATTGAAAGGATGCTTCAACAAAGATAATTAAGTTATGGAAAGTTCCATAAAAAGGCATACCGAAGCAGATATATTAAGGTTTTGACTAAATAAAACAGTAATTGATTGGACACGGAAATATTTTAACTAACTCTTAGTTATCAACAAAATGATAGTCTGACAAAGCATTTGGTGAATGTTTGGTTGTTGACAAATGCTATTATTTGCTAGTAAATTAATAGAGTATCTATAAGTGTAATGTGTATAGACTGTTATACCTGTTATACCTTTACAGGCAGACATAGGCCTATAGGCAGCCGACATCCTACTGCTGTCTGTCTGTTAGCCTCTTTAAAGATTAGTCGGAGTGTGAACACGTCTGTGTGTCTAACTGCAGTAAGAGTGAGTGTGTGTATAGGCTGCCTCCTCCCTGACCCTACTATTACTAGTGTGCTGACTGATCAAGGCACAGTTGCCGAGCCTGGGTGTGTGAGCGTCAATAAAGAGATGGAAAAGGTGTCTGATGGTTCCAGGATGTAGGCAAAAATTAAATCCCCTTCAAATGACAGGTTTGGCAAGATCACAGCGAATAACGTCGGACTGCATTTAAAATGCAAATCCATCAACGTCACACTCAGATTACTGTTGTTAGTTGACAAGTCAAATTACATAACACTGCTCAGACACACAGGAGACTACCTAGAGGATTTTCTTTGAGAGGAAGTAACTGTAAGTGACAGACAGTTATTTGTAATCCCATACTGTGTTGATCCCAGCCATGGAAACAAGGCCTAAAAGTTCCCACTCTGGTAGGCTATACACATAATGGAATATATTAGTTTATGCTCTGAACTGTGCTCTGTCAGCAAAACCACCACCAAAATAAATTCCATTTACAAGTGGCCTACTTTTTTGTCAAGCAATATTTTTCTGTTATACCCATTTTCTGCAATCGTTCACTCGCACCTTAAAAGTACTCATGTAAATATAAGTTGCTTATTGCTTATTGTGATCTTTTCATCACTTTCATAAGGATCCAGTTACAATTTGGGGGGAAATGGTCAGTCTTTCAGTGATACCTACAGTATAATGTACTGTAAACAACAAAATCTGCTGCAGATGGGAGTCGATTGAACGATGATTTATAGCAGCAGACAGAGACTCATCGAGTCAGTAAGTCAGGCAGAGAGATAGCCACTAAGACAGACAGACAGCCAGACGTGTCCCCATTCAGAGACGGGGCTTCTGTTTGAGTCTGTTGTTCAGTTTCAGACAATAGGAGTACTAAAACAAAGAGCCACTATCCTCTAATGAAGACAACCAACTTGAAACAGTGCAGATTATTTGAGCACAACACATCACAAACTGACCTAGTTTTACTATGACATGTTATGTGCATTTTAAGTAAATAAAAACAAATCAATATGTACTTTAAAAATGTTTTACAGAGGTCCGTCCCAGAGATTAGAACAAGGCAAAAAATATGTTTAAATAAACTGCCCTTGTCCCCTGGAATAATTTAAGGATAGAAGGACCTTATATCAATTTTGTCCCAGAAACGTTTTAAAAAGTGTACTGGTCTCATGCATTATGACACTTTTTTGTATTGCATATTAACAAAATATTGTGCTTATTTCTTGTGCCTTATAGTCCTAAATAAAGGTAGTAGTAATTTAAAAGAATATAACTTGGCAACTCAAGAGAATATAAATAATACTGCAAACAATGTCCTTTTAAAAAATGTTTAGCTTGTTTTTACATTGCTTAATTATTATATAAAGATATATAAATGTGAATATAGAAAAGGGCCTCAGTTAATAATCATTCAAACCTAGAATATAATCTGAGTGATGTGCAACAACAACAACAAAGTAAGCATGTTTTATCCCTGAGTGCCACTTTGTGACCCCACCCACACTCTTACATGGAGGCACACTTGTCTGTGTGCACACTTGAGTTTTAACCTCTCGGTGTGCATTGGACACATTGTGAATGATACACATCCCGGACCCTGAGCCACTCCCTCTGTCCTGCTACATAGCCAGCATGCCCCCTTGGGTGTCATGGTGTCCCCATGGCAACCTATATTTACACCACTTGACTTTGCAGAAGAGGGCAGACCTCAGTTTAGTAGCAGCTGTCGATTTTGGATGCATACACACAGTGACCCGGAGAGAGGAGGAGAAAGGAGCAGGGGCACAGAAAGCAGGGGAAAGACTTTCTGTTTTAGAAGTGAGTATTGGAGACATAAGAGGTTTTTTAAGGGTTTGTTTACAGTTGCTATAGGCCCACAAGTAATTTAGCATATGCCTTGATGCGTATTACCACCCAACTGCAATGCCAAGTGAACTTACTCAATGATAATGACTACAGAGGAGGTCCACCATAACATCCGTGCCAGGTGAGAGCTCAGCACAATGTGTTCAACAGGAGTGCAGAGTCAGCAACAGTAACATAACAACCCCAGGGAGATTAAAAACAACACCGCACCTCAGGTGCTAAATTAATTTGTACTCCTCTGGATCAATTAGGTTGCTTACAGTCCTTCCAGTTATTTAAAGGGTTTGAGTTCAGGATGTATTCCCAATGTTCTCAGCCAGAATGAGGCCCCGTCCACACGGAGACGATATCAGTTGAATCCGCTAACGTTCTCTATCGTATAGACAGTTCGTCCACACAAGGC